TAGCTGACATCATTTGCGAACGGTCCCTAAGACAACCACTGTTCTCCTCAACAATGAGGCCGTCTCGGACAATTTCAACTGTATAATCTGCCAGACATTACATTATCCGTGCGGTAGATCTTGTATGACAATCTGCATGGTGCCAACTCCTTCCTGCTGGGCAAACTTTTTCACCAGCTCCATGATGCCCTCCTGGGACTCGCCAGGCAGGACATACACTTCCTGGATCTGCTCGGCACCATCTGATGACACTTGGAACACCTGACCACTTCCTGTGGAAGGTGACCTTGAACTCAGTATTTCCGCTCTGCTCATCTTCACCTGCTCATCAGAAGCTAAACCAGAGTTTTCCAAACGGTCTACTTCTGTTGGTGTAGTAGTAGTGTAAACAATTTCCTGAAGCACACTAGGGTCTGATGTTCGAATCTGAACACACGAAGGAAGAACAAGAGATGCTACGCCTGCTCCAACCTCTTGTGAACTCTGACTCTGATGTTCTGCATTATCCAACACCGTGACCTCTTGCAACCTCTGGCAATCCGCATTATCCGGCACAGACTGTGGACAGAGTGCTTCGGTTTCTCTTGCAGCACTAAGAGTGCTTGACTCCTCCGCAGCACCAGCCTCAAAAAGCAAACTCTCCGAAGTAGCTGACACTTCTGTGGACCCACTTTGACTCTGAGGCTTATGCGGAACCCCACCGGTGGGAGCAGCTGTGTCTGGAGATGAGCATTTACCCAAAAGAAGGTGAGCCTGAGCCACAGCGAGGGAATCGAACACAGAGTCACAACCGCTGCAGATGAAGTAGTCACTCTCCACGATATCAGACTGAGGAAGTTCTTGACCAGACACTGCTGCGTTGTCTGCCATGGACGCTGGGCCGGCATTTTGCTGCTGGACAAAGTCGATCACCACATCCGTAGAGGACAACTTAGACGACGCAGAGTCAGTAAAAAATAAACCATCTGTAGCCCCAGCTAGGGTCGGTGGAGTTAAGTTAGAGGAAAGTCCTTCTACCACATTGCGATCAGTGCCTGAAGGTTGTAAGGGAAGCACAACTTTGCTAGAAACTGTAGCTTCTTCAAAATTGCTCTCTACAAGTACTTCATTCAGCTGAGGTAAAATTGCTCTATTCTGTTGAGGTAAAATTACTTCATTCTGTTGAGGTATAAGAACTTCAGTCTGTTCTGTAACACTACCACTCTGTTGAGGTAAAATTACTCTCTGCTGAGGTAAAATAACTTCTCTCTGTTGAGGTAAAATTACTTCATTCTGTTGAGATAAAATTACTTCTCTCTGTTGAGGTAAAATTACTTCATTCTGTTGAGGTAAAATTACTTGGCTGTGCTGTGGTGCCGACGCTTCCCTCTGTTGAAGTAAAAGTTCTCCACTGTCTCTGGGCACAATTACTTCATTCAGTTGAGATGGACAAGGATTTTCTTTAGCTGAACCAAACATTAACTCTCTCTGTAGTGTGCAAGCTGTCAAAGAATTTTCAACATAAACATGATTGATACTTTGTAGACTGGCCCCGCATTCAGACATCGTGCTGTCTGAACCTAAATTGGTCTGACTGGAAATCAAGAGTTCTCTAAAGCGGCATCGTTTCTGGTGTTGCCTCAGCGAAGACTTTGCCCCGAAAGCTTTCTGGCAGCTGCCACACACGTTTCTGCTCACCCCTGTGTGGAGGACTCTGTGTTCAGCCAGCGAGGAATTGAACCTGAAACTCTTAGCGCAAAACTCACAGGAAAATGGTCGAGCACTAGAGTGAGCGTAGACTTTGTGTCGTGAAAGCATACTCCTGTAGGCAAATCGTTTGTCGCACTGCGGGCAGGCGTATGGCTTCTCTCCCGTGTGTTTGTTCATGTGGTCCACAAAGTTGGTCTTGTTGTTGTACCCTGCGTGGCACTTGCTGCAAATGTACGCGTACTGCCGTTGCGTCTTGTGCTTGTGGGTCTCCTCATGTCGACGCAGCGCATGAGCCTCGAAAAATCGAAAGCCGCAGATCTTACACACGTGATGCTTCTCTCCTGTGTGTCGCTTTGCATGGCTCCGGAGGTAGCGCGGGTGGTTGAAGCGTTTTCCGCACTGCCAGCACGTACACGCCTGAGATTTTGTGTGAAGAGCTGATATGTGAATGTTTAAGTACGCCTCGGAGCGGAACTGTTTGTGGCAGAAGCGACACGAGAACTCCTGCGGCCCATGTCCCGCTCGGTGAGCAACCATCTCAAAGTGGGACTGAGCCACCAGGCCACACAGCCGACAGGTTAAGCCAGGTGTTTGGTCAGGGGTCATGTGACACGAGCTCAGGTGATAATCCAACTGGGCTTGGACGAGGAATGCCCTCCGACACTGAGGACAGGCCACAGAGTCCTCTGTTGTCTGAGGCAACGTCCTATTGTCCTGATTGTCCTCCACATCAGCATCCTTCTGTACGTCTGTCATTGCACACTGCCTCTCTCCAGACTCATTACTCTGGACAAGTCTGTCTTTTGGAAAGTGGGGACTGGCAAATGGTACTTGACATAATTTAGAGTTTTTTGTTGTAGCCACATCATATAAGTCAGACATTTTTGTTGTAGGGAGAAGACCAGTCTTCTCACAATCAGTTCCTATTTGCAGACTCTTAGCTCTCTCAGCAGAGGCCAGTGTTGAACAAACCAACGAGCCACAAGTGCAGACCTGAGCCGACTCAACAAGAGTGCCCTTCTCACCATCTTTTTCCCAAACTGCTGAATCTGTCAGCTCACTACGTGCCAATATATTGGTCTGATGACTCAAAACCTTTCCCCTCTTGCCGGGTCGTAAAGACTTATCTAACGTTACCACCTTGGGGAAATAGGGCATACTCTTGCTTACAACATTCCCATCCACTGAAGAATTCTCACACAAATTGTTCAAGCTTTGTTGAGCTCCCTCAGAAATAGTCACTTTCTTGTTCCCAATGGTGTGGATAGATTTCCTTGACCTCTTGGAGGATATCTGGACCTGGTCATTGCTTGTTGTTGAAAACTTGGGCTGCATTTGTGTCAACTTTGTAGAAGTACTGCTATACACACTAGCAGAATCAGATGATTTTTTCACCATTGGATCAAAAGCATCGCAAAGAGCTGAAGCACAACTGCTTGTCAACAACACCTTTTTTCTACGTGACAATGTCTTGGAAGTCTGCCTCCTAGCACCCCTTACAACACTTTCGCCATGAGCTGTTTTCCCTTTCCAATTTTGACTGCTTTTGCTTTTACCTCGTGTCAACGTCAACTTCCCAGAATTAACAGCAGAAAAATCCAGTTTAACGCCGCGAGTTGCATAACGTTTGAGCGAACTATCTGATGAGTCTAACCCTTGCTCTGTCAATATTTCATCCACCTCCTCCTCCTCTCCTCGTTTGTGACCTTCTCCAGTACAAACACCAGAAGGAGAAGTCCTGGGGGACCCAGCAACATCTGCAGACCTTTCCACATCCGCACCAGCAGTACCTCCAGTGCTGTCTCTTTTGACCTCTGAACTCTCTGCCTCATCAGAACTGCCAGTTGAACATTTTCCTAGTGAGTCTCTGAGCTCCAATGATGAGGTACACAAAGCTTTAGTTGACGAGGCTTGGACACATGGGTTATGACTCTCTAATGTCTCGGTGACTCCTGACGTAACTGCGACTCCTATGTCAAGATGACTCTGACTCTTCTCTGTAACTTTCTCTGTGTCTTCTGCTTTCTCAATTTCACACTTTTCTCCTTCACCTCGATCAGCTGGGAAGTGAGCATCTGTAAGAGGAAAAGAAGAGGAAAATGGGGAGGGGGGGGGGGAGTTGTTTGAATGAAAGTGTAAGATGAGAATAGTTATAAAATCAGTATGTGTGTCGTGGTCCTCATCTGGATGACCTGGCCTCACAGGCACAAGTTTGAGTTCAAATAAAAGTTTTACAGTACTTACAACACAAATAGGTCATATAAGTGCTGAAGATCAGAGGTGTTACTAAAAAATAACATACAACATGTGGCGTAGAACACATACAAAATTAAAAAATGGAAAATGTAGAGAGAAAAGTTTCAATAAGGCTGGGTGCACAGCAATGGAAAGAATTGCTTTCAGAGAAGTTATCAATACCATCATGAAAGTTACACTCTGAGGGAAAAATACTACGGCCCACAGTAGAAGTCTAGAAGTCAGTTACCTGTCGATGCAAGTCTGTCTTCCAGCTGACTATGGACAGTTGACAAGTCATCACTCAAACAAACTGTTTCATCTTCCTGCGTGATGACCTCAAAACTTTCTGCACCTTTGGCTGATTTCTTCTTCATCTCTGCTCCAACAATCTTTATTTCTCGTGACCGATGTGGCATGCTGAAATCAAGTGAATTTTTTTTCAAAGTTTTTTTATAAAGTAAAAAAAGAAGGTTCTGAATATCTTAAGGGCTATTTCAAGGAGGACAGGAAGTTAAAGACCTTGGCAGCTTGCGTGTAAAAGAGAGTTTAGCAAATAAAAGCAAGCAAACTGTCCTGATCACAAACACCACAACTCGCTGCAAATAGCGGCACCTTTCCCTTTTTTCAATAAAATAATAACAGCAAGCTCTATGTGCTTCACAATCTATACTATTACCCCAGCAGACCTGAGAGCATTCTGAAACAACCTCAACTTCCTGGAAAGCATACAGTGCAAGCGGCCATTTATAGGTACTAAAACACTAACATACTGACAAGATCTTTTGCTGTCTATGGCCGGGTACCCATTCCCACCTAGGTGAAGTGAGCAAAATTTGTGTAAAGTGCCTTTCCCAAGGACACAACGTCAGGCCCGCGGCTCGAACCCCCAAACTTGCAACCTCACCATTACAAGTCCGGTAGCCTAACCACTAGGCCACCGACGCCACATAAAACAGTGTGTTTATCTGCATAAACATATGGTTAGTCGAATAAATCTTCTTATGGCTTCCCTTGTGACCTTCAAACGCAATTCTTTTTCAGAACAATTTTCCACTAACAGAGCACTTGTGGTCTGCTGGGCCAGTGTCAATGTCAGGATTAGACTGTCTTGATTTTGTCTCTTCTCTGGCTACTTCTGCTTTACAAAAATTTTTTTTCTTTTTTTTTTTTTAAACCTCGCCCTTACTGCCACAGGTCAAAGCTTTATGGCACTGTGATTACTCTAGACAGAGGGTTACCCACTCATCCACATCATTCTATAACAACATCTTACTTTAGTTTTAGCTTTAGTAAGGTTTTACAGCGCTTGCAACTGCATAAGGTCATATGAGCGCCATGATAATATCTTCATAAATGAAAAAACAACCATTTTATTTTAGATGGTCCAAAACAAGTGTCTCTGACCCCCTCACCTCTGAGGGCTGCACACTTTGAGGTGAGCCACAAACGTCTCTCTCTGCGACCAGATGTGTTCGCACAACGGACAATGGAAGTGGAAGGTCGACGCGCTGGACACACCCTCACATGGGCTGGCACACACAAGGATAAAGTACTCTGACAAGATGAGACACATGAGATAAGATGAGATGAGTTGACACGAAATGACATGAGATAAGATCAGATAAGATAACAATTTATCTATCTCCATAAAGAAATTGCTGTGGCATGGTAAATTCATTTTCACACATGTACTTCTCAATACACACATTCTCTCTCTCTCTCTCTCTCTCTCTCTCTCTCTCTCTCTCTCTCTCTCTCTCTCTCTCTCTCTCTCCCC